AAAAAAAAAATCAGAAAAATAAATATAAAAAATGTGGCATTAGAGAAGGCAAAAAATACCACCCAATATCGAAAAAAAAAAAAAAAGGTAATGGTCTTTTTCCATTAATCCCTATTATATTAATGATTCATGAGAATAATTTGTTGTATAACTTTTTATTCTGTAAGAACTGTATTTTATAATTATCGTCAGTATTTTTTATTCTAATGATTTTATTATTTATATTAATTTATATTTTAAGTTATATTTCATTAAAATTTATACCTCAGGCCTTGTTTTAAAGCGCTACGCGTAGAGCGATATACGTATGCCTTAAGTGATTGTACGTAAGCAGTAAGCAAATTCGGTTAAGCAACTTTTTATCATTTTTTAACTTTTAAATTATTTAATAAGCGGTAAGATAAAAGAAGTAGCTAATTTTTTAAAAAATCACATTAACTTTTGAATGACTTTTATGCAAAAATACTTGTTACAAAGTTTGAATGACATTTATGTTTGATATAAGCGCTATTTGCTATTGATTTAAACTAAAATAAAAAATTAGCTTATTTTTATCGCAATTGTTTTTTTGGATATCCTTCCTAAACATTTTTTGTTTTAACTCTAAATTAAATTTTAAATAAACGGCTGCATCAAAAATTTGCACAAAACATAATTTAAACTTTTTTTTTTATATAACACAAGTTAAATTGCAGCGATTATTTTATTTATATAGCCATATAATTTTAATAATAAATTAATAAACTTTTAATAAATAAAGTAAATAAATTAATCTAATTTTTTAATTTGTTACTCTCTAATTTCTATAAAATAAGAAAACCATTTGTAGTTGCAAAGCTGCAATTAGAAATTTAAGAAATAATTATTTAAAAATTTAATATATTTTAATTCATTTATGCAAATTTGTGAAAAGAAAGAAATTCGTTAATATCAAACATTTTAAAAAATGCAATATTAAATTTAATTATTTAATATTAATAATAATAGGAAACATTCCTTTAAAGTAATAATAAAAAAGCCATTAAATAACATTTAACTCATTTTGCGGTAATTAATTTTATAGCAGTAATATAAAAAAGCTAATGTCTTTCAAAAATAAAAAAATGAAGAGAGTTTTATAACATAAAATATCGTGTTAAGCTCATGCATTAAGCGTTTTTTATTTAAAACAAGGCCTGATACCTATTGATAGTTTCCATGCAACATCATATCTTTTTGTAAATAACATCATGTCCATACTAGTAGGCAGAAAGCATTAAAATTTTATACATTTATAAGTTTATAATATAAAAATACTTTATGAGTGTTTTTTGCATTTCTTTTACATCCTTAAATAAAATTTTGTCTTCTTTTTGAAAAACGATCGTAAGAATAATAATTAGTTACATTTTTTTTTACATTGTAAAAATTCTCATTAAATATATAAATTTTGATTGCTATTGAAAACTTTTATGTATATTCTAGGTTCTTCTGCAAATTTTGTATTCAGATTGATCTTGTAAAACAACAACAAAAATTCTTGTTAGCTTTTTCAATTCATATTGCTTTTAAAATTTTTATGCAATTTAATAAATATCAACATTATAATAGAATATTTTTAAGTGGTAGTAAATTTTTAAGTAGAATTAATTTAGCATCCGAGGTGTAACCTAATATTGCCAATTGTAACAAGAAGATAACACACAGGTACCCTGAAGGTGAATTAAAACCTTGTATCATATCCCATGAAATTTTTCTTGATACTTGTATCATATCCCATGAAAGTAGCCCGTGTGCATAATCCAAAACTATCAAAAGTTAAATCATTTTTTGGTAGCTTTTTGAGAAATCTAAGCTATAAGACTTGTTTTAACTAGAGGTAAATGCCCCTCTGACTCACCCTAAGACCCCTGCGAGTGGATCAAATAGTTGTATTAATTTGTTTGGTTGTTTAATCTAGTGGATTGACATTTTGAGGATCAAATTTAAAAATAACTTCTAATAACAATTTACACTTTCTAGTTAGAACATTGACTAGTTTATCACTTTTTAAAAGTTATCTTTTTTTATTGAAGAGGATAAAATAGGTTTACAGGAATAAAATGGCTTAATAGAATCATCTTTGGATTTGTAATTAAAAAAATTCTATATAAAACAATTTTTTTTTTTTAAATAATATTTACTAACGAAAAACACTACATTTAACTAAAGTTATAATATAAATACTTTTTATTTATATGTAACACTTTAACTATAAATCCCTTGTGTTGTACACACAGACAGCTCTTTGCAAGACTTCATTAAAAAATTGGCGTTGTGTTGTCCTAACTTTCGTAATTTTTATATTCGTAATTTTTATAATTTCGTCTTGATGGACTGATTACAATGTTTGTTCAGTCTAATATCCTAAACCTTAATTCAAAATACTCAATAATAATACTTATATATGTAAAAATTTAAAAAGTTATTGGTTATTTTTCTAAATATGCACTTACCAAACTCTTCAACATGATGCTCAATTATATGAACTTTCAGAGGAATATTGGAACCAAGATCTCTGAAACTTTATGAAAACCTTTTAATATAGTCAGAGTATTTTGGATTTAATGTTTTCCTAAAACACGCATGAACAACATCACTAAAGTTTCTAAATATTCTTCATATATTTTCCATATATTTTTATATGTTTTCCACCAATAATATTGTGCTCATCCAGATAGATTTGAAGGCAATCAAGTTTTTTAGAAACTTATTGGATCCATTTCCTTCTAACCTGTGTTTACTTTGATAAGGTATTCTATCAAAATTAATTAAAGATAGATAACTATTTACAAAATGAAATCCTTAATTAGTGTCCTCAAACAAGTTTTTTTCAACTACTTTGAGAAATTTGTCTACTATGCTTAGAAAAATATGTAAGCCTGGTATATTAACAATTTCCAAGATCTTCTTTGTTACATTTCCAGTCAATAAAGGAGGAATAACTATGTTATTAAAATTTTTAGCTTTTGCAATGTTTCTTTCCAACAGCTATCTATTTGTTATACAACTCACACAGAGAGGTTAGAGAATATAATTCAACATATTTGGTATCAGGGCTGTGGAGTCGGAGTTGCGACATTTTTAGCGGAGTCGGAATCGCTAAACAAAATCGGGACTCCGACTCCAATAGTAAAACTTCTCGGTATTGCACGTGCATGTATAAAGCATTCAATTAAGCTTATATTTATACTAAACCTCAAAGAAAGTTTCATAAATTTGTCAAAAAACTTTTTTTTATTTTATCGCATAATATTTTTTAAAGAATTCAAAGAATTTTTTAAAAATTTTGCTTTGGAGTTGGAGTCAGAGTTGTACTCACAAAATTTTAACAACTGGAGTCGGAGTCGTTACTTTTTTTTACGACTTCACACCCCTGTTTGGTATAAATGCATAAAATTCTTTTGCTTAGCTGACTTTGTGCAAGGATGTTTAATATCTTTTCCTATTTGTTGAAAACAACTTCTGCAAAGAACAAGATTTTCATTGGTTGTAGAAAGATTCAAATTACTGTGATTATGATCAATATCTGTATTAACTTCACATGATAACCATTGGTGAAAGAGTTGCTTTTTCAATACCATTTTTACTCCCATTAACACAAATAAAACACTCACATTTCCCGCCTTGACTAACTCTATTATTATAACCTAAAAGTAATAAGAAGTTATTTTTTTAGTGCAAACACAATATTGAGAAATATATATTTCTCAAGAATAGAAAATCCTATTTTAATCCTAAATCCTAAATTTATCCTATATTTTTTTAATCAGCTCTTTCAAGTTAATTTAAGTTTTTTACTTAATTAGTTAAATAAAATCACTGTTATTGCTAAAATGTGTTTATAAATATTGTTGAAATCTTTTAAAACAACAACAACTATAAGCCAATCGGAAACTAATAAATATTATTATAGCCAATCGCGCTGCTGCAATTGCAGAAAGTAAACAACTATAATGGCTGACGGAAAAGTATTAATTTAACAATTAATTTATAAGTTTTACAAATAATGAAAACATCGTTATTTGTAAAACTTATTTAGTTTTCTAAAAAAGCTACCAACAAATGATTTAAATTTTGATAGTTTTAGAATGTAAAAATGTACTACTTTCAAAAACAAAAAATTTCATGGGACTTGATATAATGTCTTAGGTCACCTTCAGGGTACCTGTGAACAGCAAATACCAAAGACCTAGTTTTGGAAAAATTACGGCATTTAAAAAAAATTAAGTAATATTAAAACTTAAGAGTTTTAATAAAATGAGTTGAGTACAGTACAAAAAGCACAAAATAGTTCATCACAGTATTATCTAATAAATTGAGTGATCTTCACAGTCATATAATTAACAGGAAACATTTTATACATCAAATTCCTCTATTTATGAACATTATGCATAGAAACATTAGAAAGCTGTCTAGATTTATTATCCAGATAATTATAGTCTTTTGTAAAACCTATAAACCTAAAGATACAATCAAAACATTTAACAGTTATCAAAACAGCAGTAAGTGATAGGAATTAGCACTATACCAGCAAGAATAGCCACCAAATAATAATAAATGTTTATTTTGATTTAATATTCTGTCTAATACACGATAATCCCAGTAAGGAGATAAAAGCTTATATTGCCCCAGCTGGTAATTATTATATACCAATTAGACATTGGTATTGATATGTTTATATTTAACCAAGTTTGCTAACAATTTTTATACAATTTTTAATCAGAATAATACTTTCTATTATGATAAGACAGATTAAAAAAAACAAAAACCAGTGGAAGGGTAAAGAAAATACAGTAAATGAAATAGTATTACCCATAGTATGGGCCAAACTGAAAAATACATAATGAAAAAATACATATTACACATTCTATGACTTGCAAAATATGAACAGATAGGCTATATCTTAAAACAGAATATATATTATGTATTATACTTTACATGTATCATGTATGTATTAAATTTTTAAACCGTAAACATACCTGTTTTAGGACCGCCTTGCGCTTTTCTTTTTCAACTACTAGTGCTGAGTGAGGCCTAATACATTCTTTTGAAAATGGATTTTTTCCCTTATTTCTATTACTTAGATACCAAATATAAACTCCAAAAAAAATTAATGCAAGGATACCAATCGATATCAAACTTAATAAACTAAGACTAGAGATAAAATAATATACGTTTATACTATGTTGAATAAAAATCGACATCTTTAATAAAAGGAACTGTCGCGCAAAAACAAGAGAGATTCCGGGTAACAAAAGTAATATTTGTAAATTACGATTTGAGTACATAAAACGTATATCTAATTAAAAGTAGGGGTGCACCGATGCTTAGGCCTCGGCATTGGTCTTATTAATTACATTGCATTGTTCTATATTTTTTTATACAATATAGAAACAAAAAAATTAAGAAAACTGATTTTTTTTAAACTATCGGCACCGACCGATGGTTATCATGATCGATGCATCGGTGCACCGACATTTTCATTACAATATTATTGTAATTAAAGATTAAGGGTGGAATGCAAGAAGCAAACTCGAGTCAAGCTCGACTTGAACTTTACATTGCAATCAATAGCGATAGAGTATGGATTTTTCCCTCAAAAAATGCTCTGCCGCTATTGGTTACAATGTAAAGTTTAAGTCGAACGTGACTTAAGTTTGCTTCTTACATTCCACCTTTATAATTTTTATTTAAAATTAAATTCCATTTTCAGGTCACATAATCAACGTGAAAAAGTTGTTGTTGTTTTTTTTGTTTATTTTGTAATAATGTTTACTATTTATTTTATTTTATTATAGTTTTGTTATTTTAATGCTTATAAATAAAATAAAATTGTTAAATATAAAACAAAATTGCAAGTCAATATACGTACACTGCACAATAATTGTAATAATAATTCACTTGATTCAAAAATTTACGAAGAAACTTCTAGCATCAATATAGCATTGATAATATACTACCAACATATATTAAAAATAAAAATTCAACTACCGTGGAATTCGATTTTTTTAGAATGTCAGATCGCAAAATTTATTAATTTAAACAAATCATATCTTAGTGAATTTCAATCCGATTTCTATTTTCTTAGAGTCTATCAAATAAAAAAAACGTTAAAATGATTCACATCAAAAAATTGAGATTATTTCAAAACTGACGATGCTAGAGGAAGAGGAGTGGGGCGGGAATAGGGAATGAGCAAAATAAGCTCCATTTCCAATGTAAGGAGTAACAATTTTTTTTATTTCATTCTCCTGTTTTCTTAGTCTTAATAATTTCAATATGTTTTAGGGGTCATAATGTTTGTTATATTTTACATAATACTGTGTTTCAATTTGATTTCATACGACATGTGAAAATACACTTGAACTTTTAAAATTAAGTGAAATCTTTTTGGTGCATCATCAGTAAAGCTATGGTCACTACTATAGAGAAAAGTAATAGCTTCTTCAGTAATAACCCATCTGCTATGGAAAAGATTGCCACACTTAGCTTTTTCAAGATAGGGGTCCATCTTGCCAATAATCAAACATTTAATCAGTTTATAGCAGAGAGATGAATCTGCTTTTTTAATTGCTTTTAAAGATGTAAAATGTATAATATAGTGTCCATCCGGTTCAGTAATAACACTAAAGTATTCTTCGTTTACAGCCCTTTGATGAAATTGTTTTGTTACAGGGCTGTGCTCAAAAACTCTGGTAAAATCTTTTCTACCATCAACAAATATACCTTTGATAGGTTGTTGTTGAATCTTTGTTTCCTCAAAGATCTTGATTGCTTTCATCATTACTGTTTTCCTAGCTCTAACAACTTTTTTAAGATCTACAACCATATAGGACATTTTAGATGTCAGAAAATTACCCAGGTCTTGAAGAAAAGCTGAAGCTACTGCTGATGTCATAGCTGGTGAAATATTAAATTGCAAAAAAGCTTCTTTAGTATTACTAAGAGACATTAAATTTAGTTTCCAGTAATCGTTTGAAGCAGGTTATGTTGAATCGTCGCGTCCATCAATTTAATAAACAAAGAAAATTTATTATTTTATAGTTTTTTCTAACCTCACTAACTCTACACAAAAATCTTCTCTATATATATACAAATTGAAAAAGTCTCATGACAATACTTTTAATTACAATTATAATAACGCGTGAACTTCCACACGCATCTACGAGATTTCTATCATGTAATTCACATACATAAAAATAGAACAGGTTAATTGTCCATTTTTATTCTATTTGAATCATCATCACTTATAAAAGACTTACACGATTTTTAATCTTTAAAGTTTCTTCGTCTTCTTTTTCAAATTTTACTTCTAAACTTGACTTTCTTTTCATATTCCTCATTTCAAATTAAACCTGTCTAGTTGTTTCCTTGTTATCATTACAATTCATATTTTGACGCGGTTTTTCTTTTTCATCTTTTAACCAAATAAGGTCACTTTTGGAAATCTTTGTTTCCCTCGGAAAGGAACATTGAATTTGTGCAAGATCTAAACAACTATTTAATTTTGAGTACTTTTCATTACATAAAGTAATTTCACATTTACAATCTGTAAAGTCAAGCAACTGATCTAGTTTGACTTCCCATGTAGAAACATTTTTTTTGGCTGTCTTTCATCTAGAAATATCACTAAACTTATTTCGATTTTCTGTACCAATAATATCTTGCTTACTACCACCGGAAATTTGAAAAGAGCATTTTATCTTGTCTACTGTTGAATAACCAAGTCTGCTAATTGCACACAAAGTTCTCTTACAGAAACCAATATCCTGAAAAATAAAATAAAAAATATAGTAAATATAAACAAATTTTATCAATCTTTAAATGTGACTTTTTATTACATACCTGTCAAAATCTTTTTCAATAAGCAAATATTTTTATATTAATAGACCCTTCTTTAGGATATCTCTAAGAGTCGGCATCTCTGTAGGATTAAGATAATTCCTTCCACCCAAATATTAATTACTAGATTCAAATCAGAAAAAAACTTTAATTCGTTTTTTCTGATTTGAATCTAGTAATTTTAGGAGCACTCATTCTTCCAGTTGATATTAAATAAATACTATTAATACTAAAATTAACAAAAAAGAAACAAAAAAAACTATTAACATCAGACAAATACTAATACTTTTATTCTTACAAATTTAGATCTCTTTTCAAAAACCTTGAAATTGTGTAGAAGCGCTATAAGTTTTCTGCTGATTGCAATACAATATTTCTGAAAGCGGTATTACAACTGTTCACAAGCCAGCAAAAGTAATTGCTGCTAAAGGAGTAAAACAAGTAAGACAGGTCACCCCTGCGGAAAAAGTAATCCTAGTTAGATAGTGGGTTGTATAATTACCCTTGGAAATTCTTTACACCATTTTTGGTATTTCCTCAGGTCCACTTTTGTTACCACATGCTTAAACATGCACAAGTGAATAGATAAAAACAGAAGTATTTTTGAAATGATTTGATCATTTTGTGGAGTATGGACCACCTAGCAAGGATTATTCATTTTTATTATTTTTTTTTATTTATGTTGTGCTCTTGATATTGCCACACCATTGCAGCCGCAAAATCCAACCACTTGACAGATCAGTATTTGGGAAATTAAAGAAATTTTATACTTTAGCGTGTGACTCATGTTTAATGGCACATCCAAATAGTCCTATGACAATAAATGACATTTCTGAAACTTTAGAAATAGCTTATGTGAGAGCCTTTACCGCCCAATACATTTAAAATAGTTTTAAAGCAGCTGACATTTTCTCTTACAACCCTGTTTTCAGTGATGTCGAATTTTTGATGTTTTTAGTGATGAATTTTTATGCTCTTATGTATCTGACCGGCAAACTCCAGCAAATGGTTCGACTTTATCAATCTATTTGTGTACAAATGGTTCGACTTTATCAATCTATTTGTGTGCAAATGGTTCGACTTTATCAATCTATTTGTGTGCAAATGGTTCGACTTTATCAATCTATTTGTGTACAAATGGTTCGACTTTATCAATCTATTTGTGTGCAAATGGTTCGACTTTATCAATCTATTTGTGTGCAAATGGTTCGACTTTATCAATCTATTTGTGTGCAAATGGTTCGACTTTATCAATCTATTTGTGTACAAATGATTCGACTTTATCAATCTATTTGTGTAGAAATGATTCGACTTTATCAATCTATTTGTGTACAAATGGTTCGACTTCATCAATCTATTTGTGTGCAAATGGTTCGACTTTATCAATCTATTTGTGTACAAATGATTCGACTTTATCAATCTATTTGTGTAGAAATGATTCGACTTTATCAATCTATTTGTGTACAAATGGTTCGACTTTATCAATCTATTTGTGTGCAAATGGTTCGACTTTATCAATCTATTTGTGTACAAATGATTCGACTTTATCAATCTATTTGTGTGCAAATGGTTCGACTTTATTAATCTATTTGTGTGCAAATGGTTCGACTTTATCAATCTATTTGTGTGCAAATGGTTCGACTTTATCAATCTATTTGTGTGCAAATGATTCGACTTTATCAATCTATTTGTGTACAAATGGTTCGACTTTATCAATCTATTTGTGTACAAATGATTCGACTTTATCAATCTATTTGTGTACAAATGGTTCGACTTTATCAATCTATTTGTGTACAAATGATTCGACTTTATCAATCTATTTGTGTACAAATGGTTCGACTTTATCAATCTATTTGTGTGCAAATGGTTCGACTTTATCAATCTATTTGTGTACAAATGATTCGACTTTATCAATCTATTTGTGTACAAATGGTTCGACTTTATCAATCTATTTGTGTACAAATGATTCGACTTTATCAATCTATTTGTGTACAAATGGTTCGACTTTATCAATCTATTTGTGTACAAATGATTCGACTTTATCAATCTATTTGTGTAGAAATGATTCGACTTTATCAATCTATTTGTGTACAAATGGTTCGACTTTATCAATCTATTTGTGTACAAATGATTCGACTTTATCAATCTATTTGTGTACAAATGGTTCGACTTTATCAATCTATTTGTGTACAAATGGTTCGACTTTATCAATCTATTTGTGTACAAATGATTCGACTTTATCAATCTATTTGTGTACAAATGGTTCGACTTTATCAATCTATTTGTGTACAAATGGTTCGACTTTATCAATCTATTTGTGTGCAAATGGTTCGACTTTATCAATCTATTTGTGTACAAATGGTTCGACTTTATCAATCTATTTGTGTACAAATGGTTCGACT